AGTTGACAGCTAATTTACTTTGCCCTTCACAACTGTGCTGAAGTGCGACACTTGTAGAAATTTATATAAATTATTAAATTGTTCTACGAACACATGCTCATAGCCATATACACACTCATACATACTATATACATGAGCATGTATAAAATTGCATATTACACAAAAATGTATGGACGTTGTTGTAACATCTGCTTATGAAGTAACAACTGCATGACAGTTTAAATTATATTTATTACGTTTACAATTTATAGCACTCAAAAGAGTAAGCTGACAACTGCTTGAGGCCAATGCAAGTGGTCTTAGGGAATTATTAATAATTTGAAATTTATTTGAGGCATAATACAAGCGCCTGAGCAATGTGAAGTGGAGCAYATTGACTTGGCATTAAAGAGGTTTAAGTAACGTTTAGTGAACGTGTTAAGCTAAAGTAAACAAAATAGCGGAAATCAAAGCAAATGCTTAGAAATATTGTRCTAATTTGGTGTAAGTGTTGAATTATTTAGAATCAAATTTTTATATCAAAGTTATTTTTCTTTGTAGCTGTTATACAAACTGAACGCTCAAAATCAAGTACTTGTATGGAAAGMWTTATATTTGACAAGATTTATTATTTACTTTGTTCCTTTTTGTTAAAAATTTATAAACATATCACGCTACAATATTTTCCTACAAATTTTTGAAATTTTCTTCGCTATGCCTAACTAAATCTACATTAATTTTAAACTGTTTCCTATTGCTTTAATTTTTTCTACATTTCTGCTTAACCAACAACTCAACTCAACTACATGTGTCTACCAGCGTCGAGCCATCCCTAGCCCGCCAGCTGGCCAGTTTTTTTTTTGTTTTTTTTTTTTTTTTTTTGTGTAATCTTATCCTATGCTGGCTGTCTGTCTGCTAGACAGCGCCTAACTGCCACTTCCTTGTTGCTCAGTTCCTCATCCGCCGACACCACCGCTGGCAACATTGAAGGCGCATGCAACTTTGTAAAGCTGAAGTTTTAAGTGTTCGAGTGCTAGCCAATGCCAACGGGCATTTATACAGCACGTATATATGAATATGTATGTATGTTTGTAGTAAAGTCAGTGACGCAACAAGAAAACTAAAACATAAACAGACAAGCGCAAAAAATAAAAAAAAAAAACCAACAAACAAGGAAAGTGCCGTTTTGCCACTACCCAGCAATTGTAAGGCTGGTAATCTGTTCAGTCGATGCCTTATTGCCATACGCTGTATTGTTGTATTTGTACAACATTTTAGTGCAGTATGTTGTGCTGTTTACGCCATCGCCTTGACTTGACAGCAACTGACCGTTCTGTTGTGCTCTCGGATGCTCCACTTTCACATTTGCACCAGTCACTAGCTGCCACCACTCTCGGTCGAGGGCTCCATAACTGCCGGCACATCATGATCTATTGTCGAGGGGCTTAGTATTGTGTGTTGTTGTAGTTGTTGTTGCTGCTGCTGCTGTTGTGCAGAAAGTGACGTGGCCCATTGTCCTTTACATAAACAGCTACTTAGATACTTGCAATAAGACATACACACAAACACACATAGAGAAGTGAACCCGTGCAATTGCTGCTGGTTTGCGCCTGTGTGGGTGGCTATGTTGCTGGTGACTCTGGTGTTCGTTGCTTAGGGATTTACACATGTCAAGTCATGTTGTTTGGCGTATTTATTACATGTTGTTGTCCTTCAGTATTTTTCTTGCTTCTATTTGTGTTGCTTTTCCCAGCGCTTGCTACTCACTTGCTGTACTATATATATATGTGTGTGTGTGCTTGTGAGTATTTTTATTTAATTTTTCCCAGTTAATTCTAAAAAATTCCATCGGTTCACATTTTCACTCTTTCTCTCTTTTCGGCTAAGCATTGGCCTGTGTTGTATCGAATATATTTGTATGTGTACATGTGTATATATGTGTGTGTGTGACAGCACATTGTAAATTCGAGCATGTTATTGTCCCAGCAATTTYGTTGTCAGCTATGTTGTTTATATAGCAATTTTGCTTATGTTTCGTGTAGCGAACATGACACCATCTATTTTTTCCCCTACTTTTTGTACAGTTAGCTGGATTACAAGCAAAATTGGAAGGTTCAAAATTTAATGATSGCAAATTTTATACTGCTCACTTGAAAATTTTGCGGGAGAGCAAGCAATAGGAAAAAAACTTATCAAATTAACTTACTCAATAACGTTTGAAGGGTTAAACTTTCTGGTAGGAAAATTAATGCTTAAAGTTTGGCTTTATCAGTTAATCATTGCTGTTAAAAAGCGCTTTTAGCTTCCAGAATCTCTCCACATACTTTCACTTCTCAATTGCAGTTTCTTTGTAAAAGCTTTAATGCACGGCTTAAAAAGCTCTGCAAAGCTTTCATGCTAAGCTATTTTACCGAGTCTARTTATGAAGTTAAATATTAGAAATACAATTATCTTGTGAAAGCTCTGAATAATTCCTTAAAAAGCTCTTTAAAATATTTGAAGCTTGGCCTTTATGCTGCGCTTTTTTACCTAGCCGCATTCAAAACTCTAAGTATTCGAAATACAATTATTTTATACAAAAAATGTGCTTTAAAAAGCTCTCAAAAAACTTTAAAACTTAAAACCTTTACTAATTTGTGTTTAATTGGGCTTACTACTTATTTGAGTATACTATACATGCACAAAGATATAATATGAGTGGACTCGTACTTTTCCCTTTCCACAAATAAGGAAATCCCGCAGTCTGCACTATAAAAATCTTTCGATAGTATTGTGTGGAAGACTTAAGCCTATTGTATATAAACTGATTGGATCTTGACAATATAGCTGTAGGCCACGCAAAGCCAACAAAGAACAAATTCTCACAATACATCAAATCCTTTAGAATACCATCGACAAAACAAGTCGACACCCATCACTTTTGTCAAAGCTGGTTTTAGCAGCATTGTTT